GAGGCAGGAGACTCGCTTGAGCCCAGGACTTGGAGGTTGCTGTGAGCTGTGGTGCCACAGCACTCTACCCAGGGGGACAGATTGAGGCTCTGTCTCAAAAAAAAAAAAAGCAGGCAGAGTACATGGAATAGTTTAATTAGCAAGTAAGGCATCAGGGCTGATCATAGGCAATGAAAACAGCCTTCTCAGTTTTAGATACTACATGCCACTAAAGCTTTGCCTAGGAGGTATTTTGCAAGTTCAACTGTGCTATCTTATCTGTAGCAGGTCAACTGTGCTATCTTATCTGTAGCAGGTCTTTCTGCAGTGATGCTCCCACTTTACACAAGCTAATGTGGGTAAATGATCATCCTGAAGACTTCCTAACTTTTCTCCACACGTGACTTTACCTCTTAATTTAAACAGTTTGTGAGTCTTCATGTATAAATACTTTTTTTTTTCTTTTTTAGAGACAGTGTTTTTCTCTGTCTCCAGGCTGGAGTGCAGTGATATAATCCTATCTGGCTGCAGCCTACAGCTCCTGGCCTTGAGTGATTCCCCAGACTCAGCCTTCTGAGGCGCTAGACCATCCTGCCCAGCTAATTTTTAAAATTTTTAGTAGAGATGGGGTCTCACTATGTTTTCAGGCTGGTTTTGAACTCCTGCCCTCAGGTGATCCTCCCCAAATGCTGGGATTATAGGAATGAGCCACCCTGCCCAGGCATAGCTACTCTTAATAAATAAATACTTTGCATTGCTTTTTTAAAGCAACAAATGTATTAGTTTAGTTCTCTCAAAGTAAGATTGCAGAATTGTAGAACCTATTGAGTTTTGTAAGAAAAGCCAGTTTCCAGTTAAACATTGTTATTCTATATTTAATGCTGGCTTGTATATTTAAAGAGCAGAATCTTTCCAGAAGCCTGGATAGAAGTATCTTTTCATTGCACAATCAACAAGATAGGATGACTTATTTCTGTGCCAGCTGCCCTTAATTTTCCTGACCTTAATGGAACATCCTAGATCCAGCTGTTGGGATATTTACTTTAACAGAGTAAGCAGTTGGATTCTTTCTGGGCCTGTTCTCCAGAGAGGGACAGTGTTTACAAAAATATGTACATTTGCTGTATGTAGCACTAGAAGAGCCTCATGATAGGTACAGAGTTGTTAACTTTTAAATAATTACCTATGCCAATAGAGAAAAATGTATGTAATCTATAGAACAGTGGGATATGCAGACATACTTTTAAATATTTCTACATCTTTTCTTTCCATTTACTGGACTTGACCATCCTGTCAGCTTAGCCCTCCGTTATAGGAAATCTGAAGAAAAGGAAGTAGCCGCCACCAATCATCTTATAGCACAGACACTATATTCTTGATTTTATTTCAATGACAATTTTCTTTTTCTTTTCGGTTTTCTCTCCTAGGCTCGGAGTCTTTGAGAGTATACCTAAGTCAAAACAGTTATGACTTCAACAAAGTCTAGTTAAATTTTGTAGAACCCGGGCAGTCACAGAGGAGTTTTGAGGGCATGAGTTCACTCGACACGTACTTGGGTCTCTCGTGTTTTCTACAGTGTCATACCACATTAGCCATAACGCTCCTCTACTAAATTTTTTTTGCCATCTGGATGTGGGGGAATTTGTTAGCAGTTTGCCTTTGTTTATTTTTTTAAAAATTTTCTCTATACATATACATGTGTTTATTTGGTTTCCACTTTTTGCCTTCACAAAATTAAAAAGGCTTAAAATTTAGTATCAATAACAATGTTTAAGATAAGGACTAGAAACAAAAACCTCGTCAAGAACGAACAAAGATAAGTACATTCAGAAAAGAAATCAGATGATTGCTGCAACGAAATGTTAAGCAGTAACAATAATAATAATAATGCAAAAAAGTAACATTCAGGGTGGCGCCTGTGGCTCAGTGAGTAGAGCGCCAGCCCCATATACTGAAGGTG